CAGGCAACCGCTGTCATATAGTATGAAATTTTCGGCAGCGCGTCTGTCGCGCGTTTATAAATCGCCTAAATGTGAAAGCGCTCTAAAGGTGCAAGTTCGTAGCTGACTGCACACAGCAGCAGCAGACGACTTGTCATCGTGACATGTCACTTTCTACGAGTATTAGTCCGGTCAAATGTGTGTAGTGAACCCTGAAATAATAGCATACAGCCGAAAATTGGTACGAACGTTGAAATTGAAACAACCTATTGTTATACTTACTGTTTGTTTTGTACCTAATGGCCCATTAGTAATGGGGAAGACACTGTCGTCCATACTACAGGCAAATGCCTATTTTGGAAGACAGAAGATTCGCTCAAAATTGTAAAACTTTTTTCTTGCAATAAAGACATTTATTTATGTACGGAGCACCATTATGAATGGAATGTGAAAAATCCCCATCGTTCCGACATATGCTAAAAAAAATTCAAGGTGAAAGTTAAAAAATACGGATTTTTTAGCACATGTCGGATCGATGAAGATTTTTCACATTTTACACATTACTGAAACGCTTAAACTTCATTTAATAACTTATATTTATAGGAAATAGGTACTTAATATTTTCCTTGTTCTTGTTTGTTCACTACTAGTGAAAGTAGAAAAAATAATATCCCCGAGTTAAACTTTGCTTTTTCTCTTATTATTAAGCTCGCCTCAAAGTATCTGGTAAACAAAATTACCCTTATCATAAGAACATCAAATGAAATCAAATCAAATGGGTTTTATTGCTTCATGTTAGTACAAAAATTCTTAAATAATAAAAATACCCATAATAACATAGATTATTTTGTTGCAAATAAAGTAGCTCTACATATAAAAAAGGTAGACTCGCGCGAATTGAGTTGGCTGTTATGTCCTGTCCACGCGCCAGTCAGCTGCTAAATGTCATACTCATTTCTATTCTTAAGACAATAGCGGTAAGGTATCAAACTGAATAAATTAATGCGCAGCTGACTGTACATTTACGCAGAAAGGCGATAGTACCGTTGGAACGACCTAATTTCTACAATTAGGGCCCATTTTGTGTATCAAGATCGAAACTGATTTACTAAAATGGTGGCAATGTTACTTGTTACAAAATACTTCTATTGTCCATAAGACACTGTGCTACTGTATCTCATAGAACTGCTGTGGTTGAGTGGTAAGCGAGTCAGATTCAGGGGTGTAAGGTTTGATTCCCTACTGGATCAATTTCTGATTATTTTGTTGCATGAAAAAAATTGACCTTTACTGGCTGAGTTTTTATTGGCAGTAATGCTATAGACAGTTGCAACTGCAACGGCGAAATCGAGAGGTGGGAATAGACACAAAGAACCGCCTCTGTGGTCTAGTGGTAAGATCATCTGCTTCAGATGCAGAGGTCCCAGGTTCGATTCCCAGTGGGGGCAGATTTTTCTTTTCGGTTTGGTTGGTGGTAGGACTTAGGACTTGTTCTAATTCCGCCTGGCTAGCTACCACCATCTTACCTAAGTCTGTCGCCATAACAAAAATGTTAACAGCATAGCCAGTTCCTCCGTGGTTGAGGATTCCGGGTAAAGCTCGCTTCCACCTTCGGCCTGATCGTCATCAGGTGAGATACAAGCCAAGAGCTTCCTCGTTGTGGATAAAAAAAAAGAAGTGGGGTACTGTGTATTATGCTCACAGGTGGTTCAGGATATAGCAAAACTAAAAAATGACAGAGTTGTCGAATGCACCACCTGGGAATCGATCCTGGGAATTTCAAGCTGGTTTAAAACTAAGTATTCTACTGTATTCATGTGTTATATGTTGGTTTATCCATACTTGAATAATACAGAAATAATATTGAGTATTTACAATATTGTGCGGATATGATATTTTCATATTTAATTCTTGCGGTCAGAATTATCTGTGAGTAAATTAATTATTATTATTTTCAGGACTGATATTATGACGGTAATGTAAACATTTTAATGAATATCAAAACATATTAATAGACTAATTGTTGATACTTATAACTGTTTCTTATATTGGATCATTCATGATCGAACCAGGTTGGCGTCATCACCGTCACATCAAGGTTACATAGCGGCAATTTTTTGTGTATTAAATAGTCACAAAGTTTTCCGGAAATTTTGAAAATACGGAAAAAACCTGATCGAATTTTTTCATGGGATTTTTGCTACTACAGACGCAAATAACGATTACAATATTAAAATAACGGTACGGGTCTTTTTTATGAAGAACCTACAAACGCGATCTTTTTTATGAAGAACCTACTAAGTTAAGTACTGCGGTTGTGTTGCTACAGCCGATGACTCTACTATTTTTTTAATATTTTAATATCATCAAATGGGGATCTTTGCGATAGAACGAGGCGACATGACCGGCAATGGGTAGTTAACACTGTTGCCGATAGTACAAAAATATAATACCTACTTATTGGAATATTAGCGCTTTCTTAAAGCTTAATTTGCATAATCCTATGGCGTGAAGTATGTCGGCCACGGATTTCCGTGAAATGTTAAGGAGAGTGCCTAATGGCTAGATGGTAAATTTTCCACGTTTTTGCGCCTATCCAGAGCAGAAATATGAGCAAACGAGCATTTCTACGGCCGGCCGCAAATGTTGTAGTAGGGTTAGCAAAACACTCTGACAATAATAAAAAAAATCTGTTTTAATGAAGCTTTACTATATGAAAATAACACGTACTTAAACTGATTTTGTATATCTTTTTGTTCCAGTTAATCTCCGAAAGGGCAAGATTGATTTTGACAAGACTTTTAATAGATAGCTGATGTTATTTAGATAATTTAAGCTACTAAAGTAGGATTCAAGTAATAATGGGACGTGTAAAAGCTTTTTTCAAAGCCTTTTTGCAGAAAATAAATGACTTTTATGACTTACTTATAATAAAATATAAGTAAAAGTCATAAAATCTGTGATGTGTATGTAAAACTTTACTTTGTTAAACTCTTTACTGGACGCAGTTCCATTATAGTGAGAGGTTTAGTTGGACTAAACTATCGTATTCTCATGGTTGAACAAATGAATAAAGTGTCCTCTTTTTATGATTTTAAAAATAGAATGTTCTTTTTTTGAATAATTTAAAAGAAAACGTACATCGAAATGTCACTTGCGCATACTCCTCACCTTCATAACCAAGCATTAATAAAACACTAATGTTGACGCTACTATAATATTTAATTAAGTTGTTAACAGCCTCGCCGATGTCTGACATACCTTTTACGTTGAAGAATGCCATATTGAAACACTCTTGCTGATATGGAATTAATATAAGACCCCGGTTTTTATGGCGGTTGGTTTCACATAAAATCCGGTGTAGTTATTTTTGGTATTGGGGAGACCGGGTGAGTTGTAACTGCATGCGTGAGTTGACTAGCGAGCTCGAACTTCGAACTCCTCCAATGTTCTTCTGATTAATTTCGTTGCGGGGCCAATGACAGTTTAACTTTCTCCCGTGACAAACTTGACCTTCACTGGTAGGGTTTTTATTGGCAGTCAAGCTGTAGATCCTGGCTACACAGGATTTGCAGAGGTGGGAACAAAAGGTGGAGTCCCGTACTAGCGAGGTCATAGCAGTGCACGTTTTTTTTAGTCTCACGCCCGTTTTCACCATCAATCTCTAATTTTTAAGTGACCCCTATGACAACAAAATTCCTGTTAATTGTTACTATAGGGGTCACTTAAAAATTGGGAATTGATGGTGAAAACGGGCATCAGACTAACAAATGCGCGCTTTTGTGAGCTAGCTGATAAATTAGTAGGTTCTAAAAATCTACAATGTCACAACTCTCCTCTGTTACAACTCACCCCGGTCTCCTTTCTTGATTTATAGTCATGAAGTCGTACGCTGTCAGATTACCTAATTGACTTTCGCAAATGAACTTTTTTGCTGACGGTACTATGGAATGTGGGGTGTGTTGAAAAGAAGTTTGGTTGTAGTTTAACGTGATTTATCTGAACAAATCGTTTAGATTGGTGGTTCACGTGCTAGATTAAAGGTGTGGTCGCGGGTTCGAATCTCGTGGGTATCAAATAAATGTAACTGAAATAAACGAATTATAGTTGGGATGTTACTGTTATAATGTACATATTCATAATTATGTACAGCATAAATAATACAGATTAGTTGCAAAATAAAACCAATTGCAACTATGTGTAGGTACATAATATTAATACATAATACCTGGCATTAAGTCCGCCACTGTACATATGTATGTGCAAAAGTGTAAATAAATAAATAAATAAAAAAATAATATTAAGTTTCATAATAGAACAACGTATCTTAGTTTTTGATAAGCTCCATACATACCCTTTAATATATTCATAAATAAATACATAAAAACATTAGAAATGATGTTTTGAACATTAGAAATTCAAATATCCGAAGATTGCACTATAACGCTGACTCACTCGGCATTATTACATTCCATTTTTTGTTCCATTTTGCTTGTATGAGATTAGTTCTGTTGTCCAATGAAAAAAGAGAGGACAATGTTTTAAATTTACATTTTTAATACACGCACAACTCGTTCTATGAAGATTTTTAAGTAGCTAAGTTAGTAGGCTAGTACCTACCTATTAAATGACAAATAGACTATAATTATCTAATATTATTATTATGACTTTATGCTAAAACATCCAAAATAGAAATTCAATAAGTGAATTTTATCGCTATTAAACAAGGAAAAATGCATGTTGCAATATTCGCGTTGCTAAATAATATTATCGGTTCTGACTTCGAACTTAATTCACAACAATGTTACGTCATTATGAATGAGAATAAAAAGAGATAATCGCATTTTAAAATTAGAAATGGAACGTAGAATTTGTTCCAAAAAAGAAAAAAATATTCGAATTTCAAATTAATCTGAAAACAAAACAGTCGGAATTTTTAAAATATGGAAACCACAGAACTTAGAAACCTCTTTCTATGTTCTGTGATGGAAACAGTTTAAAAAGAATTTAAAAGCACTTACCTAGCATTTTACTCAGGTCAGCGTTGTGGAGGTCCGGATTCTCATCGGCCAGCTTCTTGCGTTCCACCTTCGCCCAAACCATGAAGGCGTTCATGGGCCTTCTTATTCTGGCCTCCTTCAAGGCTTTGGCTTGCCCCATCTTGGTCGTAAAGGGCGCCCTTGCGTACTGCTGACTCGAGTAATCCCTTCCAGTATCGTACGGACTTCTGTAGTCGTACTGGGCTCTGTAGTCCAAACCGTAGGGTAGAGTGGACCAGACTACCAGCTCTGGGCTGGTTTGGTCCTGCCCAGAGTCGGTGCTATTCTCAACACCCCCCTGCACGTATTGTTCGTAAGAGCGGTGGTAGGTGGGGGGCGATTCTGCGATACCAGCCCCTCCCGAGTCCATTATGCTGAAATAAAAAAAAAGTTGTTAAAATATTGGACTTGAAGCGCATTTACAATGTTATCCTGAAGTGGAGGTAGAGCACACTATACTTATTTGGGACGTGTAAAACACCCCCGTATTCGCAAACGATGCTTGCTTAAGTGAAGCAGCAAATCGAACGCACAGTGTTGAATAGAGCTTTGTGATTCGTTCGTGTATGACCTTGAGCTTATATTTAGTAATGTTTGTGAATACGGACAAAAGTGCCCTGAAAAGAGTCTAACAATAAAAAAGTCTATGATTTGTGTTCAATAAGCCGTGGTTCAATAGTTGTCGATGTTATACTGGCTGAATATAGTTTCGCGCCTTTAACAGAACATAATCACGACAGGTTTTAATAAAGAGTTGTGCTCATGCACCTGAACCATCATTTTATAAATTCAAGAGATATTTTGCCTAGTGTCCAATCTTATTCTCGCAAACGATTGTAGCAACCCAGCTTAATAACCTAATAGACTCGCCAAGCGCCTGAATCGACACCTCGCTTCTCGAAACCGTCGCTTCCACTGAACGTCAACTTGCGCGAAGGAATTTGAAAAATCATCGGTGTCATTTGCTATATCGAGTTAGTCGCAGGAAACAACGTAAGGCGAGCTGCGATACCGATCGGTGAAACGCGAGCGTCTGTCGCCACGTCTAGGAAAGATGAGGTCTATGACTCTATGGTTACTAATCTATGGTTCATTGGATCGTTTTAATGCGCGCGCGTGCCGTCATTTGTTTAGACCACAGATTAGGCTATACAGTTTCGTTGCAAAATCGCCGCTATTACAAATACATATGGGCCTATAGAAACGCCTTGATAATGTGTACTTTTATTTGGGACTATTCCCAATTCTCGTTCCTACCGCTGCAACTCCTGTGTAGCCAGGATCTACAGTTTGACCGCCAATAAATAACCCAACCAGTGTAGGTCAAGTTTGTCCCGGGGGATAGTTAAAAAATCTCTCTTAAATTCATTTAATGCGGGTTAAATCGGACACGCCACATAACCACCTCATTCAGCATTTATCAATACTGGCTGGACAACAAAACTATGTATCAAAATCCGTAGAAAAACACCGTCAACAATATGAGTAACCCCGAAATTAGAGGAAAGCGCCACCCGACCCGTTCCGCGAACGGCGCTGCGTGTGAACGCATGCATTGTTCGTGATTTCTCCAGTTACGAGGTACGGTTCAGATGCAACGAGAGCGATTGATGCACGCAGAAAACTTTTTTCTCTAATTATTAGTTTTTTTTTTTACATTTAACCTCATTGTTGCCAGCGACTGACCGCTGTGCTACGGATATTGGGTAAATTCAAACAATTTTTTTAAAACTTGCCGCTGTACTTTATGCTCTGACTGCAGTGCTATGGACACATTGGGTAAACCCAGCGAAATTTTTAAGTTTATTATACGCTGTGAGCCAACCAATCCAGGACATTTATGACATTTAAACTCAAAGAGGAAGGCAGGGCCACGAACTGAAACCGGTGAAGGTTCAGGGAGGTTCAGCTCGATGGAGGGACGACCTCAAAATTGTAGAATGAAAAAATGAAGATCGTCAGTATTTTGTAGCGTTTCTTGGAGAACTCTTTTACATCCAGCGTCCAGTAGCGGACTGGCATTAGCTAAAATGATGACGATGATCCACAATAATCACAATTTAGCACTTTTGTCTTTAGATAACAGTAAAATCCCGAACCTACTAAGACGCGTGGGACTCTACGTAGCTCAAAACCACCGCAATAATTCCTCCTTCGTTAGACTCGCGAAATTAGTTCCTGCTTTAAACTCGTCTTCACGCCACAGGAAAACAAATGCAGTAAGGCTGAATTACACCACCTAACTTTAACCGTAACTGTAACGATAACCGGTGTGTTTTTTGTATTGAGTTTAACAGACTTTTGACGTTTGTTAAAGTTTTTTTTTTATGTGATAGGAGGCAAACGAGCAGACGGATCACCAGAGCATCAACAGAGTTAAAGTAAGATGGTGCAACCGAGCCTAACACCCGTATTCACAAACGACGCTTGCTTATGTGAAGCAACAAATCGAACGCACAGCGTTGAATAGAGATCTGTGATTGGTTCGTATGTCACCCTGTGCGTCCACGCTCATGAGTGAATACGAGCGTTAAGTCAATCACGAAACAATAATTTTCTATACCTCGATACATGTCTGACTTTTTGATACTGACAGAAAACTTGTAATTGGACAGTTCAAACCTTTTTTTTTATTCACAACGGCGAAGCTCTTGGCGTGTATCTCACCTGATGGTAAGTGATGATCAGGCCGAAGGTGGAAGCGAGCTTCACCCGGAATCCTCAACCACAGAGGAACTGGCTATCTTAACTGTAACTGCCGAAACACAACAGTATCGTACTACCTATCAATTCTTGTGACAGCATCAAAAACCTGGCTGTTCTCCCCAAGCTGCCAGTGAAGTGACAATCCCTCACGGGTGTCACATAATATTCGTGAAGTATGGCCGCCATAAACGCAGGGCAAATTAAATATGTTGTTTATCACTCACTTACGTTAGGAATGCAAGGTGAGGAGGTTTTATTTTAGTAAATAATTAATATTCAAGCTGAATATGTTTGAACGAAGTATTTAATAGTTTTTTCAGCATTTTTAGTAACTAAGATAACGCAACATATCATTCATCATCATCATTAACAGCAAGTTATGCTGATGATGTTTATTATATACAAGCATTAACCCGCAGCTTCGCTCGTGGTAAATTTTGGACCCCAGATTCATCAACATAAGGAGTAAATTTCGGAAAACCCTTTCTTAGCTCAATCTGTTCAGTGGTTTGAACTATGGGTTGATATCAGTCACTAACGGTTGCTTTTATAGACTCTACACACCAAGCTGTCGGCGGCAAAAAGACTTTTGACAAAATCGGCGAGTCGGAGTTTGGAGTGTAGGTGCATTATACAGGGTGTCCCAAAAAGTAGTATCAAGCCGAAGCCCACAGGCAAAGTATCACTAGGGCTACCGGAATCACCGCGACTTTTGACAGTTTTCGAGTTATGATTTTTTTTACAACATATAGGATTTTTTTGGTTTACACATGTTATGGAAGTAAATAGGTACTTTTGAATCAGATACGCTTAGTATTCATCTAATATGTAATAATAATAAAAAAATCAGGCATGTACCTTATCTATTCGCGCTACAGTGACCAAAAAAGTGCCCAAGCACAGAAATTTAAAACAATCATAACTCGAAAACTATCAAAAATCGCGGAACATAGTATACATGGAGGTGATTCGGATAGCCCTAGTGATGCTCTACGTCTGGGCTTGACACTACTTTTTGGGACACCTTTATAAATATAGAAAAGGTATGGAAAAGGCGTGTTAAAAAGGTGTACCTACCTACCAAAGTTTGACGTAAAATCCGTAAAAATACTTGTATTTACATTAAAGATTTTTTTCTTATTTCAGACGTTATTCGACGTTCAATGTTACACCAATGTTCTCAATGTCACGAGTGGGGTTCGAACACGTGACCCTTGCGATGAGTCAAGAGTCAATGGACTAGCGGGAGGTTTATGAATAAACAATTTTGTATTAACACCATTTCACTTGGCTATTTGGCGAAAGCGCAGTACCTCTGTATGTTCTTGCAACTCACGAAGACGAGTGAGGTTTACTTGTGTGTGTACGTGTACATGCACATAACGATAGTGTAATGACTGTCAAAACTTTTGAAAAAGAACAGTAGCGAGCCACACATGTTAAGCTCACTCGCCTTCGTGAATTGCAACCACTACGCTAGGTATGACGGTAACTAATAGGTATTTATTTTAAGTATTTAAATTAATTTTTTTTTGTCTCTAAAGGACAATGCTCCTCTATTTAGAGGTGTCAAAGTTTAATTAGTATTTTGCAGTATGTATTTCCACTTAATTAAGTATTGTGTAGTGTTTTAGAATTGCAATACTTGTACTAGAGTCATTGCGAAATTGATTAAAAGATCTCATGTAAAACGCAATAGAGTATTGCGTACAAATGGGCCACATTTCTAGCTACTCATTTCCGATCATGTCGTCACGTTCTATCGCAAAGACACATTACCTACCCTTTGAAGAAAGTGAAAAACTAAAAGAAAATGGGTAGCTAGAACTGTGCTCAGTACATGACTTCTTCAAAAAGCCTTCAAAAGTGACATTACAACGTGACAAAATAAAATTTTCTTTTTTTTTAGGATGGACTGTCCCGCTGAACTTTATTTTCACTTACCTACAAATAAAGCTCTCAGCTTTTTGACAAAGGAAAATTCCTGAAATATTCCACTTCGTGTTTGTTTTCCTACATTCCTAAATTATGCACAAAAATACGTCCTGTGGCGCAGAGATCACGAAATCAAAGTCTTAAGTAGGTGGCTGATAGATTCAGCAACATTTTAAAGGCTGAACTTTTTTTACAAGAAATATTTTAGTAAGTTAATATTGGATTTTATTTGCCTTTCGCATTGCTAGATATCCCAACTAATAAATCTACGATTAGTAACCCAAATGACGTCATTAAATTTCCCTACAAAAACAGATCAATGAATACACCGATCAACGAAAATTATCTCACATTATTTTCGCATCAGTTCCCTGCTATTTCTATTGTTTTTCTCATTACCGTGTAAATATAAATAATAACTCGTCACAATACCGCTTATTAGAAATATAACATTCCACTACATCTAAACAAATGAAAGAATGAGTGAAAATATTTAATGTTTTCACAAACGACGCGCGCGCAGCGTGCTGGATCTAAAGTTGGATTGGATGACGTGCTTATGTTCAATGAAGATATGTTTTAGAAGTTTCATCATCATCATCAACAGGTCATTTGGTTTTCACTACAGGACACCCTTATTTACCAGCGGTAAATGGAAGATTTGGCTCTCTACGCTGAGGTGGAATTGTGTAAAGCAATCGTAATCATTTAATATTACTAACAGCACTAATAG